GGATTGATGGCTTTATTTATCCGATAACTAATTATGCATAGATGGGCCAAAGTGCAATATTGACTTAGAGGTTATTTATTATTTAATTGGAGTTCAAATAATTTCTTTTAGTGGAGTAGAAATTAATTTATAAATTAATTAAATTGTGTCTATGAATCGAGCCAATTATTAATTCATTGTAGCCAAGAAAATAAGAAACCCAAAGGATTCTCACTCATAGCCCAACTTGATATTGGAAACCTATTAGATTTGAGATATGTGAATTAGAGATTGAGAATGATTTATTGTTTCCTTTTCTTATCTTTATGTTGCCTATATATACATGGTCCATCTATATTTTATGGATGATTTTTTTAGAAGAGAAAAAGGAATATTTTCTCTCTCTAGAATTTTAGAGTTAGTGTTCTCATCTAATGGAGGCTCCCATAAGCCTAATTTTTCAAGGTCATTCATGGAAGCTTATGGGTGATTCCTAAAGGTAAAATCATTACTAAGAAGATGGAGATCCAAGGAGAAAGTATCTAGTAAATGGATCTACAATAAGTGAGAACATTCACTTTAGAGAAGAGATCTAAGGTTTTCTAAAACCTTGATGTAAGTATTCGATCTATTAATTGAATGATACATCATATTTTATTTTTGTATAAAACTTGTCTTTATGTGATGAATCAAGATCTATGTATGAAAATCCCTCAAAAAGTTTTTGAAACTTACACATCTCCCAACACCCACAAACCAAGCTTAGGGTTTTCATCATAGGTTCATAGGGATAATTTCTAAAGAGCAAAGAAATTTAAAGAACAAAAGAGAAGGAGAACTTGAAAATTCAACCTCTATTCTCTCTACACATGCATCTCTATCATTCAAGATTCAGAGTAGAGATTGAACATAATCTCTAGAGGTATAAGATCTAAAATCCCTATAAATACATATAGTATTCATTATATATCTTCACATATAAAATTGTCTCTACATACAAAAAAGTTCTAGATCAGTTTCACTCTTCTGAAAATTTTCAAAACCCATTTCCCTAACATCACAAACCCTCGGTGGACATCTGATTGTGATGCTGCACAACAAATACAAATGGAAAAGATTATGGGTATATGTTGGTGAATATACAACACTACCTAATAACTTAAACTTTTGGGCCATAACGTTCTACTGTTTGATCCGTTACAATCGTATCAGAACCAGAATTCTTGATCTGGTGTCACACCTAACAAAAACTTTGGCATAAAATTTTTAAGGTTGAATTCTTTTTACCAACCTCTGTCAAGTATCATCATGATAAGTATTAGAGCTGAGGTGGTGTAACCTCTCTTCTTCTTCTTCTTCTTCCTTTTTAGTTTTCTCTCTATATAAATTTTTACATTTATTTTGCTCTCAATAATCGATATTGAGAGGTTGCCCTCTCCATTCATAGGGGAGATTGAGAGTTCAGGGCCGATGGGTGCAATATTGTGAGTATGTATGCATTTACTTGAATTTCTAAAAAAAAATTAATACTAATAATAAAGTCAATACCATAAAAAAGAAAATTTAAAATTAATTGTAAAACAATTGATCAAAGTAAATAATTAAATTCATTGTAGTGGTTAAAATACTGGGAATATCAATTGTGAGGATATTTAGATCTGTATTTAATTTATCTTCTCTTAACGAGTACTATAATTTGATCTCATTTCTCTGGACATTAAGAGAAACCGACCTTTTTCACCTAGACCTAAAAGTATGATAATTATCGAAGCCTTCCCTCAATTAACACGCTGAAGCAAGCTATTGAAACATTCTCAGCTCTGCATCAGTCAAAGCTAGAGTCGTGTATCTTTCTGGTGTCAATGCAACCTTAGAGGCTGCCATTTTATCACCACTTAGCTATGACAAAGGGGAGTTACCAGTGAGGTATCATGGGGTCCCTCTGGTCACATCAATGCTTAGAGCCCAAAATTGTAGATCTCTTATTGATTAGGTTACTGCCAGAATCTCCCACTGGACCAGCAAGAACCCTTCATTTGCTAGAAGGTTGCAGCTCATTAGGGCTGTTCTTTTTTTTCACACAAATGTATTGGTCATCTATGTTCATTCTACATATGAGCATTATCCATGAGCTTGAGAGCATCTTTGGAGCCTTCTTATGGAATGGTCCTATTCTAAAAAGGTCTGGTGCTAAAATTTCTTGGGACAAATGTTGCAAACCTAAGAATGTTGGTGGCCTTGGCCTTCCAAACCTTTGCACTTGGAATGAGTGTGCTATCATGAAGCATTTATAGAACATTCTAAACTCAAAAGATATGATGTGGGTAGCTTGGATCAATACATATCTACTTAAAAGTATAAGTATTTGGGAAGTAAAGGTACCTGAGCAATGTTCTTGGAGTTGGAGGAGGCTCCTCGGTCTAAGAGATATTGTTAAGCCTCTTGTCAAGCTCAAAATTGGAGTTGGCTTTAGCTCCAATTTCTGATTTGACAACTGGTGCCACATAGGTCCTCTTCATCAGCTGGTTTCTCCTCTACAAATCATTGACTCAGGATTTGACAGCAAAACTAAGGTCTGTTTTTTCATAACTAACTCCACATGGTCTTTCCCTTACACCATTACACACATCCTACCACAGCTACAATGCACTTCTTTACTTCCCATTCCCATACCTAACTTCTGTGATAAAACATTGTGGATACCATCATCCTCTGGTCAATTCTCTATTTCCCAAACCCTGAAACATTTCACTCAGCATCACCCTACCCTCTCATGGCCTTACCTGGTGTGGACAAAGCCCTCAATTCCAAAACACTCATTCACACTTTGGGTTGCAATTCAACATAGACTGTCTGCATTAGACAGAAGATGTATTGCTCATATTAATGCCACCATGTGCACTCTTGCAACACTGAGTTGGAATCCCATGACCACCTCTTCTTCAGATGCTCATTTGTCAAATCTCTTTGGGTATTTCTACAAGCACGTTGTGGGTTTCACATCAACCCATCTTCATGGTCCGAGCTCATACCTTGGGCATCTCACCATTGGAAAGCCATTTCAAAATTTCATAGCAACTCAATCTCCAAATTGAGTTTGGCAGCCTTGGTTTACCACATCTGGATGGAGCGAAACCGTCGAATCTACAAGCAGAAATCTCTCTCAGCCAATTCATTACTCCACCAAACTTTGGATGCAATCAAGGCCAAGCTCCTATCATCTTCAATATCAGATTCCCTCAACGCCCCGAGAATAGCAACGGAATGGGATATCCCTTCCTCTGTGATTCGTCCTCTGGCCAAACCGCCAGACCGTGTACCTTGAAGATGGAGTTTGGCTCCTTCAATTACCGGAATGTTAGCAAATCCTGTAACGGTTTTTTGCTTTTCACTTTGGGGATCAGTTGGTCTATTGCTTGCTATTTGGGCGGTTGTAATTGGGCCTGTCAGTTGGCTTTTGCTTGCCCTTTCGGGCTGTTGTTTTTGGGCCTGTTATATGGTTAGCAATAGGCTAGCTTTGGGCTGTACAGTTGCTTTATTTATATAATATTCAATTCAACTTAAAAAAAAAAAAAAAAAGCAAAATATAATGTGATTGCATCAATGAAGAAAGGTCAGAATAAAGTAAAGGACGAATGAATTATGGGCGTATTGCAGTCGTTGAATCACTCACGTTGTTATTGACCATGTCAAATCTGCTCATTGTCCATATATAACAACAAAGCCAATACATAAACAGATTACATTTGCTTTGTCTTCTCATACTTTTGAACTACTTTCTGCCTTTTTGTCGCCCCCAAAAGGTAAAGGGAAATTAGAATTACGAAGGAGTGAACTTTTGATATGCCCATGAATATAAGTTTTGCCTCTCAAAAATAAAATAAAATAAAATAAACACATATTTCTATGTTAAATTTGCTAGTATAAACCCTAAAAATATAGAGTTTTTTTTTTTGGATTTTACAACTCATCAATAGAATAAAGGAAACTTACAAGTAGTATAATAGGATTCACATTAATTTATTAATTTTGATTTATTTATTTTTACTATAGTGATGTAATGCTTTTTAAAACACTCTATAATCTATCATTAAACACATATTAAAATTTCAAAAAAATTCTTCAATTAGCCCTATAGATATTATTTACTCTCAGACTTCCAAAATGTAATATAAGAAATTTACCATTAAACTATCCACTTTTTCACATTAAAAAAATGTAATGGGACAGTTTTGGTCAACTTTTATAGTCTTCAACGTAGAGTTGTCTCTAGAGAGAGCTTTTTGAGTGTGGTTGCTGAAGTTTAGGTTTCACATTAAAAAAATTTAGTGGGACAGTTTTGGTCAACTTTAGGAGTCTTCAAGATAGAGTTATCTCTAGAGAGAGCTTTTTGAGGAACGCAACGCTATTACACTCTGGTTGCTGAAGTTTAGGTTTTACATTAAAAAAATGTAATGGGACAGTTTTGGTCAACTTTAGTAGTCTTCAAGATAAGTTATCTCTAGAGAGAGAGCTTTTTGAGGAACACAACGCTATTACACTGTGGTAGCCGAAGTCACATTCACAATAGGACAAAATGTAGTAGAGTAAGTAACCTTCTTGAAACTTCCGTTGTGACCTAAAATTTCCAAATGCGATCGTCTACACTCTGATTACTGTTGATATGACTAGAGTATTTGATAAAGTCTTAAGACAATGTAGTGTAAGTTCTAACTCCAACATGATAATAGTTTAGGTTGTTCTATTTGTATATGCTTCTTCTGTGAGCTTTTAAATTGGTATTACTTACCTGAATTTGCTAGTACTATATTTGTATTGAGTTTGTAGTCTTCTATAAGCTTAGAAACATGTTTTATGAACTTTTAAATTGCTTCTTCTATGCTGGTGCTATATGCATATGGACTAAATATTAGATGCTTGCAAGATATTCCCTCCCATCAGCCGAGTTCATCTCCAACAATTTTCTATACATCATATTGCGAATGACAAGCACTCCTCATGAAATTCCAAAGCATATAGAATGACATTTTACTTATTCAATACATCTTATTGAAGGGGAAAAACATACATCATATTGCGAATGACATGTTAAAATGAACCCGTGTTTGACATATCACACACATAATTAATTACTTTAAACACGGAGCTTGTAAGGCTCCAATACAGTTTCTGTGTCACCACCGTGGGTTGCATAGGTGCCCATGAACTCTTTGTACTGGAAGGCTCTATAGAGTGGGGGATTGCTTTCACTTACCAGATCTTCTGCACATTCTATGACTGTGTCCCAAGAAGGAGCAATCAAGGAGACAATGCTAGTCCGAGCTTCGTTTGAATTTGTCACTGCTCGATGTTCAGCACTTTTAAGCTTCCCATTACTAATAATCTACACACACAGACAAAAAAAAAAAAAAAAGAAAAAACTTGGGTCAGGTCTGAAAACCAATTTGTCTTAGGACTTAACAACACTAGTAGAGTCTAGTAGCTCAAGGAATGGAAATATACCTGTAATTGGTAACCTATATTAACCACAAATGCATTGGGAAAAGGCTCAATACCAATCCATTGACCATCCTTGAAGACTTGAAGCCCACAAACATCTCCTTGAAGTAGAATGGTTATGAGGTTAGGATCACAATGTTTAGGTAACCCTAAAGTTAAACTTGGATCAGGGCATGGTGGGTAGTGATTAACTGTCAGTGTCTGATAGTTGGTCAGTTTATCCCCAAAGTACCCCGGTTGAAGTCCTAATCCTTCACAAATCAGCTGCAAAATCCTTAATGACAACTCCCTTACTTCCACTGAATATGTCCCAACCACCTCTCTGCAAAGATAACATATATAAAAAGTATTAGTTTCTCTATCTATAGTGTGTGTATATATATATTATATATATATATATATATATATATATGATTCACTAGGCAACCAAATTTATACAGGTTTTGGATTATACCGATATCTAGTTGGCTTTTCAGGCCACAACGGCATCCATTCCTCCAAAGGATGACAAGGGTGTCTCAAGTTATCTCTCCAATAGTGCACCTTATTTTTGGCGTTGTTAAAACTGCTCGTGTAAAGCTTGCACTTCTTACTGGAATCCTCAGAGTAAACACTTGCCTTGTCCTCGTCTGGCAAATTGAAGAACTCGTTGAATAAATTCCTTGTCTCTTCCATTAGATTTTCCGAAACTCCATGGTTGATCACCTGTTTTACAATTCAGTATATATATGGTTTGTCATATCCAAAAATCCAAGATACTAGCAGAAAGATTGGATGTACGTGGCCAAAATTAAGAAGCAAAAACAAATGTATAAACCTGAAAGAATCCGAACTCCCGGCTTGCATTCAAAATCTGTTGAACTATATCGGTTCGATCATCACCCACTGCCTTTCCAAGATCAATCACTGGAATGGTCTTGCTTACAGGAACAGTGATCTTCCCTGGTCTTTGGTCTGGTGGAACCACATACGTTTCAGGCAAGGATTGAACACTACTATACCAACTTGAAACAAGTTTCTCCATAGTCCTCTAGTGACTTCTTCTTTTTGGGTGACAAACGTGAGTCATTTTTCTAATCCACATTATGTCTATTTATAAAGTACCATTGGATCAATTTATTATTATTTTTAATTCACTGGTAAAATGGTAATGAATTGTATAGCTTGAACTTTAAGTGACAAGATAATGACACGAATTATACAGTATCACTACGATAAAGAAAATTTTTCTCTTCAAGATGAAATATTAATTAGTGAATCGGTTGAGGTAAGGATAGTTGGATCAATTTATTATTTTTTTAATCCATTGGCAAAATATCAATGAATTGTTGAATTTTATAAGTGAATGGTGTTCAGCTAATATATGTATATCATACCGACCATCATCTATGACATCAATACTCTCTTTTTTGGTGAAGCATTTAGACTTTAGAGGAGTGCCGTGGGTGATTTGGTTTCTAGAAATCGGCCGGCCTGGCTTTTTATTTTTAATTCTCCTTTTCTTGATCAACTTTTCAAACATTTACATATAGAGATTTGACCATTCAAACATTTACAAATTTTCAATCGTCTTCTAGAATTCATGACTTTTATAATATGATCTCTTTTTCGAGAAAATAGTTTAGTGTTGGATTGATGGTATAAATAACAAATTATTAAACCTCTTTCTCCTAATAGTGAAGTCTTTTTCCTAACTTACCCTCCCCGAAATTCTGCCAGCATAAATGGTCTAAAATCATATAATAACATTATTATAGGAGAATATGACTTTGGTCAATAAAAAGTTCCATTGATTTATGAACAGGTACGAAATCTCTTATTATCTGCGAGATAATGTGGATAACAATGGTTACTAAAGTTGCTTGCAAGATATTCAATCGCATCAGCAAAGTACAAATAACAATTTTAAAATATGTGGAATAATAATTTAATATGTATATTACGAAAAGCTTACACTTTCAAAAATTCTTGTGAACTAAGTTGATAGAAAATAAAATGACATGATAACAAACAGAAGAAATTAACTTGACTTTGTAATTTGTGTAAACAAAATGAATAAATCACCCATCTGATTCTGGCAACCATTGATATTAAATGACCATCCTGTCTGAAAGGGAGATAAACACACAACTGATTATGTGAAGGATCAAAGCCGGACAAGGTAATAAGCATCTTTAATCGGTATTGTTAGATTGCATTTTCAAAAAACTTTTAATCAATTATAAACACCATCACAGTAACCCCCCCCCCCCCCCCCCCCCCCCCCGCGGCTGGTTATTCAATTGATGGGCAAAAAACATTGCCCTGAAAAATATTATGAGCTACGCTATTTATTCTATGTTTAGCAAATGGTAAAGGACTCCCAAGCATGATCCTTAAGTATGAAAGAAGTAATTAGGGTCTTGAGATCTCGTAATATCTTCTCAATTTATTAAAGTGAATGGCGAACGTTTGAGTCTTCAAATGAACAAAATGGGTGCGTGCCCCGGTGAAGCGTGTGTTTCTTACCAATGACCAAAATAATAATAATAAATAAATAAATAAAGAGATATGAGACCGTATAAACTCTTATATTGATTGATAATTACTTTATTTAGTAGAGTCCCGTTAAATCTTACATACACTATTTTGGGTATTTATTAATTAATAGTTTAAAAATATACCCTCAATAGTTGCATCTGTGTTATTGCATTTATTTTGACTTGATTATTTTAATTACGAAAAATTTGGAAGCCTCCATTGTTTTTGATAATTAATTTATATATTTAGATATTTATTTATTTATCTATTAAATATATTATATAATCAAATAAATATTTTATATGATCAAACAGGAAATAATCAAGGGGTTGAAATAAATAAATAATTAATTAATTATATGGTCGAATTGATGACTATCCAATAGCTACTTAAACATAAAAGGGTCATTACCAAGGTTATTAAAATCGGAATTCTACGCAGAATCGTTTTGGTCTCCGTAGAATCAGAATCATAGAATCGGATCGTGAATCGTAAGATTCTACCAAATTATGAAAAAACAATTGAAACTAACTTCTTAAACAATAAGATCTATAAAATATAACAAAAATAAGGCTAAAACACACAAACATACATATCTAACCTCAACATAGCCTATCAAGGGATAAAATTTGACATTTAAGAGATATTTTTTGTCCCGTGAATAAATAAAACGACTTCTCCCAATTTTTTTTACCCTCCCCCAAATTGTGCACAATTAAAATTACACTTAAAAAATTATATAGATAAAAAAAAACCTCATTCACATTTCTATTATGAAGCATTTCGTTATTAGGGGAGGAAAAAATATATAGATAAATAAAAAATAAAAAATAAAAAAAACCTCAAACACAATTACACAAACAAGCCTGAAACACAGACGAATAGGAGCGATAAAGAAAAGGGGAGCAGCGACGAAGAAGAGGGGATCAGCGACACAAGTGGCGACCAGAGGGGAGCGATCAGCGACCGACGAAGACTAGCAACTAGTGACCAGCGACGAAGACCAGCGACTAGTTCTACCAGCGAGCGAGCAAGGACGAAGGTACCATGTTTTGCCTATTTATGTGATTTTAATTTGATTTCTATGACTGTCCAGTGAATTCCCCTCTTCTCTTCACCTATAGTATAGTCGGAGTGATGAAACCTTTAGGATTCATGATTGAATAACAATCTCTGGCGTGTATTATGAAATTGGGGTTAGTCTTTGACAGTGTATTATGAAATTTGTAGAATCGATAGAATTGTGTAGAAACTTACGATTTGTAATACCCCTAATTTTAAAAGGATAGTTTCGGTATTTAATTAATGATTTTCTTGCAGTTTTATTTGATTATTTGCTATTTGCTTAATTGTTTAATTATTTAATTTTATTTTTATTTGTTTAATTGTTTATTTGCCTGTTTATTTGAATTAATTGATGAGTTATTTTATTTAATTGTATTTTTATTTTTCTTTAATTGAATTAATTGCATTATTATTTTTCTTTCATTGAATCAATTGTTTTAATTTTTTAAATGCGTTAATTGGATTACATTAGGGTTTTATTAATGTTTAATTTAGGTTTTGTTTTCTTTTATGATTCACGTTGTGGCCAACTGGGATTAATTAGGGTTTTTCGTCTCTAATTATAAGTGGACTAGGGTTTATATTAGCCCATAAAAATACGATGATAAGTTTGTATAGGGTTACAAACAAACACTCTTCACGTATTGAGAGGCAGAGAGAAACAGAGGGTGAAACTTGAGAGATTAACAGAGGGGTTCAAAGAGGATGGGATGGATTGCTTCTAGGTTGAACCAAGAGCAACGGAGGTGTAGAACGGCAGTCTAGGAAGTGATCGGAAAACTCAGAGACGGTGGTTTAAGGTTTTGAGCGAAAACTTAAAGGCAAATTTCTATTCTAACTTCTTCCCTTAAACCTGTGTTCTGTGCATGTCTAGGTGGACTCCAGGGTTTAAATAAATGTTAAAATCTATCTTTATGCATGTTTAAACTGTATTTGATCTCGTTGAATCAAATTGGTTTGGGGTTGATTGAAGTTGAAATTAAATCTTGCGGCCGTTGGTTTAAAAACTTGTGTTTAATTCATGTTCGTTGTTGTTTAATAATGTTTTATGATTAATCTGGGACTGAGATTGAACTCTAATAACATAAATATAAGAAGTACAGAGGGTTTGGATATCGCCGAAGGAGAAGAAGATGATCAAAATAGGTGATACGGCTCGTAGGGAGAGAGAGACGGCTCCCTCAATGATGGAGCCGGCTCCCAGGAGTGTGGAGCTAGCTCTCAACTCCTTAGAGCAGGCTCCCAACTCCTTAGAGCAGGCTCCCAAGTGTTTGGAGCAAGCTCTCAACTTTTGAGAGCATGCTCTCGCCTAGAAACGTGTATTAACGATTTTAAAGTTTTGTTTTGGCTATACAGGGTGTTTTTAATCCATTTAAATTGCATTAAATGATGTAAGTAATTGCTATGGACCTGTAAATAATATGGGGAAGCATTAATTCATAAATGGGTTAAAGAATGGAGCAATATAAATTTAAGGATAAACCTACATGTTGCACACTGTTTTGTTAGTTAATTTATTTACTGGAACTTAGAGATTCTTTTGTATATGATTTGATACTGTTTAATCATATTTCAACAAAGTTATGAGTATAGTGGATTATCTGAAATTAACTATGCTTGGTTTGGATTTAATTGGTATTTAATTTGCCGTAAACTATGTTAGTTTATGGACGGTTTGGAGGATTTAAATATTTAGATTTATTTTAGCAATTTAAAAGTTTGGAACATGATTTTTAGGTCTTCTAATGAAATGCCTAATATTGTCATATATGTATTAAACTTTATTTATGCATATCTTGGAGAATGGTTGGTGAATACCTGTTACTGTTTTATCAGTTATGTTATTTGGAGGATTGTATGCACCGGTATGGGACGGTGGCATACTAGGGATGGATTAGTTCAAATATTAAGTCCTACATATTCTAGATTGAGGTATGGATTAACCATAAAGGTTAAGTCCTACTCATATTTGTGTCATGTCAATAAACAATTGAATGACCTACTTTGGTGTCTGGATGGATTGTTTTACATATGTCAGGCCACTATATCAGATGGATGATATTTTGTATTAGGCTTATACGGACTTTATATATTTATAGTTATGGTGCCATGGTATGAGCTTGAGTCTCAGGATCATGGTTAGGGTACGTATATCGCCTATGATGGATAATTGGATATAGTTGTTGTTCCCTAGTATGTCTAGGTACACATGACCACGTTATGTATTGCATGGTATCTCTACTCAGGCTGAGACAGACCTATTGGGCTAGTGAGCATCCTATAGTGTGTATTTATACATATATAGACTATTCTAGTTATTGTTGAGCTATTTATGATGTATCTGCGTATCGGGTTTCTGTATGGATTGTAGTAAGATAGAACTTGCATGTGGGCCTGACCCACTCTTATTTTTTAGGTGAGGGTTAGAGCTTGATCGTGCAAAGCAGATACAGTCACTCACTC